CGTTTTATCAAATTTCTAACCCGTGATTTCATGCTGTTTTTACGTAAATTACTTTAAATTTATCGCAATGCTAATGTAATGAATGTTTTCTCGGAATTAATTCGCAAAGACGAAAATGGATCAGAATTTGTAAATAGTTTCGGCAATCAGATAATTGTTTATCTCCGAGTTCAAACATTTTTGATAAAATATATGATTATTTATTATTTAATATCAGAAGAGATAATAATTTGAGTAACAAACTTCTTCTGCAGATTCACAATTCTGAGTTCGATTTTTTGGGTCAGTAAGTTCAGTATTTGGACTTCTACAACTACGAACATCATTCATATGATGGCATATATAATACCTTCAAAGAGCTAATTCAATTTTTTACCAAAAATATTTTGAGAAAATTTGATTTTTTGCATAAATTGACTTTCAAACACAATTATTTATTAAATAAAAGTAAGTAATGAAATTTCATATTTAAAATGGTACGGATACAAATTAACTAAAAGTTAAATACCAACCAAAGTTTGTTTATCAAAAATAAGAACAGAGAAATTTGAAAAAATAATTCATATGTATGTATGAAAGCCACAATTTATACTTTGCTAACAGTTATTTGTATTTTACTTTAAATATTCATGGATCTGATTTTTTATTAATTTTCTATGACATAATTCGATCAAATTTTTGAACACAAAGAATTCGTTGATATTTTAAAAATATGATTTTTTTCAGATTTCAAATAATAGAAAACTTACGCAATCGATAAATATTAATATTTATTTATAGCAAACGCATTTCTCGTTTAAAAGGACGTTTTTTAAATTACGTGAAAGTTAACGAGGAAATATGATAAAAGTTTTTATTTTTTCACAAAAATAATGAAGTATTTGAAAAATTTTTTAGTAGCTAGTACTATATTTATAAAGTTTTAAATTTACGCAAAAACGTGAGACGTGTACAAAAACATGAAAGTATGAACACGCACATTTCAGGGATTAAAAGTTCTTCGTCAACTGCCTTTGATAGTAACAAAAAACTTTCCATAATTTGTGCAAAGCATATAAGCTAAAAGACCAATATAAGTAGAATTTTTATGTATTAATATAAAGGAAACTTACTACTTAGCAAAATGTTCAGGGTTGTTGCATGGATATTTGTAAATGGATCAGTTATTAATCTGACCATAAATATTTATGCAATTTCGTATATTTTAATTACTTTGCAACTAATTAATTTAATTACGTTATCATATCGAATATAAGAATATCAGAAGTTCAATATTTATCCATTTTAAGCAATTGATCACCCGAAATTGGTAAAAATATTTGAAAGCTGAATTTTAAATCGAACTGAATTTCTTTAAAATATTATAAAATTGTATTAATTCAAATAATTTCATTAAAAATATGAAAACTAAAATTATCGCTCACTGTTTATTATTATTTGTCTACCTGAGTTGGATCTAATTCTCCTATCACTTCACCGATGATAATTTCCCAAGCAAATGCATATTCAACTGATCCAGCATCCCACGGAATGCTTCTTTCAGACGAAAAGGAATCCATTCGTATTGCAAATTGATCTATTGATAAGAATCCTTCATGTACGTTTTTAAGTGATTCTGATTTTTGAAAGTGTAATTGAAGTCCAGCGAAAAGCACCTAAAAGGTCAAAAGATAAAATTCAAGAAAATTTTTTTTTGGTATATATTATCCAAATTTAATTATTATGTCTTTTCATATTTTGGTTTAAAATTTGTAAAAAAACTTTAACTCATAAATTTGATTTCTACAATTCCGATGAATTTCATTACAATTAATACTAAGATTTTTTGGTCCTTTCATAGAAGCATTTTTGTAGCAATAATTAAACGCATTTTATACAAAGTAATACTCACTTGACACCGTAATTGTCGCATAGCTTTTACTACTTCCACAATTATCATATTCGCTCGTACATTTGGGATGCAATCTAAATAATCCCAATAATCAATATACAAATTTTCATTCATAAAATTTCAACTCAAATTAGAAACAAATTAAAATCTGCAATATTTACCGGGATTCTCGCCTACTGTTTTGATGCTATGTGATAAACAGTGTGCTCTAGACTTTGAAAGTCGAATACTCAACTTCACGTCTAAAGGACGATATTTTTCTACGTCATTTTGCACGCGATTGTAAAGTCGTCGAGACAGTAATGTATGTGCTTGATAAAAATCCATGTCTGACTGCTAAAATTTCAATTGAAAATTTAAAATATGCTTTAAATAATATTACTGTACCTAGCCAAAAGTACCACAATTATTGTAATTTATTGTAT